AACTGGAACGGACTGGGAGGAACTGGGAAAGAATTAAAGGGAACTGGGAGGACACTGGGCCTTACTGGGATGAATTGGGAGGTTACTGGGGGGAACTGGAAGGGACTGGGACCAGTTTGGGTGACACTGGGAGGAAACTGGGAGAGAATTCTGGGTTACTGGGAGGGACTGGGATGAACTGGGAGGCAACTGGGGGTCACTGGGCTGAACTGGGAGCTCTCCTGGGGGAACTGGGAGGGACTGGGCCATACTGGGAGGAATTTAGAGGGGACTGGGATGAACTGGGAGTTACTGGGAGGATACTGGGCCATACTGGGACGCCCCTCTCCGTTACTGGGATCAAACTGGGAGACCCCTGGGGCTTCCCCCCTTCCCCCAACCCGGTCCTTACCGACCCAAACTGGTCCTTACTGGTTTATACTGGTCCAAACTGGGAGCTCACCTTGTCCGTGGGCTCGATGTCGATCTCGATCTCCTTCCCCGTCAGCGTCTGTAGGGGGCGCCATCATCCCACAATGCACCGCGCTCGCCCCTCACGCTCCCCCCCGCCAAAACCCCGCCCGAAACCTCCCCAAAATCCGCGCTTTTCACCCCGAATCCCCTCCGAGCCTCCCCGCCCCTCACGGGGATGGCGGAAAATCGCCGGATTTGCCCGAAATCCGCGTTTTTCGCCCCAAAAAAACCTTGACTTTGATGAGCATCGTGGCGGCTGCGGCGCCTTCGGTGCCGCCAAGCGGAAGCGGAAGCGTGGTCCCGCCCTCTGCGCCCTCAGTGCCCAAACCCAAAATGGCGGCCGAAGCACTTCCGGCCTCTCAGCCAATCACATCGCTGCGCCCGCCTTTTGCCCGCAACAAACATGGCGGCATTTGTAGTTCTGAGCTCGCTTCCGGGTTCTCAAGGCGCCCCATTGTTTGGAGGCGCTGTCAATCAAAGCGGCTCCAACCCGCCTTTCAGACCGCGCCATTTTGTGCCGGAGTGGGGGGGGCGAAACGGAAAAACCCCCCAAAATGCCTTATTTGACCCCAAAATTTGCTGTTTAAACGCCTAATGACGTCAAAACAATTGTCTTACCCATCCCTAGCCGTGCTTTGCTGCGATTGGGACCCAAAATGCCCCCAAAACCTCATTGGCTGCACTAATCCCCCCCCCCGATTCGAATGGTTCATCCCAATCATCCCCACTCACGGTAGGGGGAGAAGCGGAGTGGGCGGAGCCTGCGGCGAAGGGGGCGGCGCTTCATCCTAATTAATCCAGCAATTAATAATTAATTTGCGGCATAACTAGCGAGTCAATTGGAGGGGGGATGTGGGCGTGGCTACTCACGGGGGCGTAGCTTTCTGCGCCGGAAGTGGGCGTGGCACCGACGCTGTGGGTGGAATATATGCAAATTAAGCGCCTAATTTGCATATCACCCCACCCTCCTTATAAGCTCCGCCTACCTGGGTGGGCGTGGCCAACCTCCGCCCAATAGAGGCGCAGGATGGGGAGGGGGCGTGGCCTGGAGCCCGTGGGGGCGTGGCTTCGGCAGAGCCGCTCCAGCTGCGCCATAAAAGGAAAAAAAAGGGGCGGGGCTTAAATCAAGGGGAAGATCCTGGCAAAATTTTTGGGGGGAAATTTTGGGGATTTTGGGGAAATTTTGGGGGAATTTGAGGGATTTGGGGAAGGATTGGGGGGTTTAAAGTGAATTTTGTGGATTTTGGGGGAATTTGGGGGGATTTTCGTCAATTCTGGTGGATTTTGGGCCAAATTTTGGGCTGAATTTGGGGGTTTTTTGTTAATTTTGGAGAGGATTTTGGGGTGAATTTCACTGATTTCGGTTGATTTGGAGAGGTTTTTGTTAATTTGGGGCAAATTGGGGCCAATTTGGGGTGAATTTCAAAAATTTTGGTTGATTTCAGATTATTTTGAGTGAATTTTGGGGGAATTTTATCTGAATTTTTGGTGAATTTCAGGTCAATTTTGGATGAAGTTCGAGTTTATTTCTCTTTATTTTCATTCGTTTTGGTGAATTTCGGGCTACTTTTATTAATTTCTAAAATTTTTTATAATCTCCCTTAATTTTGGGTGACTTCCATTAATTTTTGCTGATTTTGGGCGAATTTCTGGTGAATTTTTGGGTGAATTCCTGTTTATTTCCTTCAGTTTTGGGTGAATTTCGGGCTCCTTTTATTAATTTCTAAATTTTGGATAATCCCCATTAATTTTGGGTGGCTGCCATTAATTTTTACTGATTTTGGCCAAATTTTAGTGAATTTTGGGTGAATTTCGGGTGAATTTTTGCTGATTTTGGCCAAATTTTGGCTGAATTTTTTGGCCAAATTTTGGCTGAATTTTTTGGTGAATTTTGGCTGAATTTCGGGTGAATTTTGGGAGAAATTTGGGTGAATTTTGGCTGAATTTTTGGCTGAATTTCTGTTTAATTTTGGGTGAATTTTGGCTGAATTTTGGCTGAATTTCAGGTGAATTTTGGGTGAATTTTGGCTGAATTTCAGAGGAATTTTGGGAGAAATTTGGGTTAATTTTGGCTGAATTTTTGGGTTAATTTCGGGTAAATTTTGGGGTGAAATTTTGGGTAAATTTTGGCTGAATTTCTGTTTATTTTCATTAATTTCGGGTGAATTTCAAACTCCTTTTATAAATTTTAATTTTTTTTACAACCCCCATTAATTCTGGGTGACTTCCATTAATTTTTGCTGATTTTGGCCGAATTTTGGGTGAATTTTTTGGTGAATTTTGGCTGAATTTTGGGTGAATATTGGAAGAATTTTTGGGTGATTTTTTGAGTGGATTTCGGGTGAATTTGGGGTGAAATTTTGGGCAAATT